CAAAAGAAAGAAGTGAAACGAGTTTAGGTTTTATATCTTTTTACAAATGGTAGCATTTTCAAAAAATATATTTTTCATAAAAGAAGTAGAACCAGGTTACGATTTCAAGTCACGGAATACGGTACAGGCAAAGAAGGGGGATAGTCATAATTTGTAAAATTTTCACCAGAACAATTTGAACATCTAAATCGTTTGTAATTGAACATTGAAAAGTTTCACAGGCTTCTACTTTAAGCCAATGTTTTCTTACAATGTTTTTTGCAGAAGTTTAAGTTTTTAAACAATTCTTTCTTATATCTGCAGAAAAAATAAAGATTTATCTAGATGACTACCAAATGTACTGGTAAAGAAGGGGGAGCGTCACAAACTAGTCACACATCATCAACAGTAAAAAAAAATGCAAATTCGTGAACAAAAAAGTATGAAAACATTTTATTAAGTATGAAAACATTTTATTTAATATTTTAGTTTAAAAAACAGATCCATTGCTAGTACATTAAGTTTATTCATTACACATGAGGTAAGTTTGTAAAGTATTCGCTTGCTTCTGGACCACAAAAGTTCTTTAAATCCATTAAATTCTTATATTTTTCTTCCGAAATTGGCAGTAACCCTAAAACCCAAGGAGTTTTTAATAAAACTTGGAGAAAATGTCATTGTGTTTACCTGAATATAAAAATTCCGGCAGCTCAAATTCGTTATTTTGAATAGTACTGCTTTTTCGGAGTTTGCGATCCACAAGAACATTGTTTGACCAGTGACCATTGAATGTTGATCTGTGATACACCAGACTAGGGTGCTCTTTAACTACTTTTAATTCTCGAATTGCTCTTAATGGGAAAGGACATTGACGTTTATAACGAAGCGTTAAAAATGATGTCCATTTTCGGAAATAATGTTGATTTGCCTCTTCTGCGTCAAACGGCATTGATTTGTGTCTGGCAGATTTGAAAACTTCTAGCCATTCCTTGGGATGTTCTACTCCACTCTTTTGATTAATTAATCCAAAGTCTTTGTCGCATTCCATATACGAATGTCCTGTTATGGGAAAAGTTATTTTGTACTGTTAAATCTTTTTTCGGCGTGCACCAGATAATGAAGGAAGCGTAGGACTGTATAGTTTTTGTGCTGCCCTGCGCAAAAATCGCAGAAAATCTCTATATGTTTCACACTGAAAGGTAAGTAATTGTACACGAAGTGCTGTATGAATGAACATACGTCATCACTACCTTTCTTTCCTATAGTTTGTGGGTACTGATAAAATATACTTCGAGATGTTGACAAAACGTGTATCTTGAAATTATAAATCGATAACTGCCTTTTAAAATACACGTCACTTGTTGCAATATTTGGTACTGGAAGATTTTTGGCAAAATCCATACATATTGCTTCAAATTCTAGGTTCCGTTGGCTAGCTAATTTTGCAGAAAGTTTTCTTTTATAAAACTCTTCTGCTTTCAGTTTGTGCAGTCGATTTTCTGTTTCTAGTCTTTTAACTTCATTGTCAGCTTTGTTTTTTGCAGCTTCCGGTGATGTGTTGTTGTTTTTTGTATTCAATTCTACGCTTCGTAACTTTAGAGATCGTTGCAATATTTCTACCTTTTTTTTTGTAATACCATGGATAGCTAAAAATGCTTTGTAACACACCTGAACCTCCTTTATATCATTATTATCAGTGTATCTAATTCTGTAGGAATATGAAGCTTCATTAAGAGATGCATTTTCCTCTTCTTTGCGAGGTCTACGTTGCTGCACCTGTTGAACACTAATTAACCCACATAAATAAATATTTTGTTCATCGACTGTTTCCAATAAATTAAAGTTTTTAATAATAGCATCTCTAGCAGCCTCAGGAATATTTTCGAAGCATTTTAAACGCACACATCTGTAACTCTCATATATCTTGTGCCAATACAACAAAAAAATGAAAATCTTATTTTAAGAAAATAATTTTTTTATTTCTAAATATTTTTATAATAGTAAGCCATATGATGCTGTAAATGCTAACAGCAGTACATATTTTTTATTTTTTAACGATTTTTAAACAAAACTTTAAACGGTAACTTATGTGACTGTCACATAATGTTACTATTATAAAAAATGAAAACGAATGAAATTCTTAAAATCAGAACAACTTAACTTTTACACATGTTTGGAAAAATTGCTAAAATATTGAAATTTAGCGATTTTTAAACAAAAAGTAAGCTAGTAATTTAAGTGACTGTCACATATGTTAGTTTTACTACATAACAAAATATAGAAACCAAAAACCAATTATATAATATATAAAAAAAATACTTAAATTTCGAAATTTCAGTCGGCTTTGTAAGCTACCATGGCTTCCCAGTCAGGTACGGTTAATGATAAGAGTCTCTTGGTAACATTTAATTTATTGACCTGTAATTTTATCTTCCAGTTCAGGCCATATAAATTTATACTCTCCTATCTTCTTTAAAGTATTTACCTCATACTGCTGATCATCAGTATTAGAAATAACACCTGGAAACAAGCAGTTGTCGTAAATCACAACAACCCACTCTCCTTTTGAAAGGTTCATGTCTTTTTCTCGCACATTTTCTGTCACTTCTTGCTCAAGAATCGGTATTTTCCGTATGCTAAAGCAGGTGTCGATGACTGGTAATTTTTTGCAAAAACACGAGTATTTCCTTTCGTACACGAAATTGTCTTTATGCAGAGAGATTATCTGATGCGTACTTAATATGCCGGGAATTTTTTTTACCTGGACATTGCTTTTTTTCTTCTCTATCTTCTCAATTTCGCAATCCTCAATAAAGTGCATAGTGACTTCGGTTTTTTCTTTAACTTGTTCAAATAATTGCCTAGCATTGCCTATATCATTTCCTTTTGGGACGAAACTATCGCTGATTCGCTTTACGACAGCTCCTATACCATCTGGAGCACCTTTTCCATGGTAAGACTCGGAATAGTTCCACGACCCATATTTAAATCCAATCTCGTGGAAGTAGGTTTTAAAAAAATAGATATTGTCTTTGTTTTTGTATTGGGTCGCTGGCCCATCGCTAAAAAAATATATGGTGTCTATTTTCTTGCTTTTTAACTCCAGCAATATAGGGGTAAGGTGAGCCCAGATTGCTGATGGATCATGCTTTCTGGATCGGGAGACTGTACAATACATCTTATATTTTTGGTCTTCAAAATAGACTGCAACTGTATGTAGCGTAACTTGTTCATGTGATGCCCCAAAATGCATTGCTTGAATTTCCGAACTTAGTTTACAACTGTAATTCTCCGAAAAATCCATATGAACCACTGCTTCTCCATAACATAACTGTTCCTTGCATCTTCGGAATTCACTAAATTGGTGTCTAATTGTAAACATATGTTTGCAGAATGTTTGTTTAATTTCTGTGTTAAACGCGTAAAATAAATCAACAAGTTTCCCTTCTTCTTTTGCTTTTATCGTTTTTATACTCTGCAGCTTTTTTCCATTTTTGTTCAAATTTGGTTCTTTCAGTTTTCCAGACCCACCAATACACAACTTTGTCACAGGAAACAGTTTCATCTAGAGTAATAGCATCCTTGTTATTACATAAATCACACTTGTTCGTCATACACTCCATAGACTTATTACTGCAACACACAAGACTACATAACTTATCCAAATTTCGTTCATTGGAAACTTTTTGTTTAATTAAAACATCAAGTTTTTTCTGAAAATTGTCGTGCTTTTTGCAAAGGCATGAATCCCTGTCCGTCAATTTAGCTCGAACAACCCAGAGTGGGCGACGTCTGCAAAAGGTAGCGAAACTTATTTTGCTGTTAAATTCCTTACAATATTTTTCATGCAGATCCTTTAAATTTTCGGATAGCAAACGCTTCTGTTTCTTGACCCCACGAAATGTAATTGTCTGTTTCTTCCCTGGAATGCTGACACTGTTGTCATCCCTACTGTAAAATTTTCTAATTTGGGAGTAGCATATAAGTTGACGATTTCTTTTCAGTTTGCTTTTTCTGTTGTCTGACCACAATGACAATTTTTTTCTTGCTTTTTTGACAAATCGGTATCTGTTAATGTATTTCCCCTTAACAATATTTGCCATTCTCTGCTTAGATTTTTCATCTACGTCTTTATAATTTTTATGAAATTCAGATAGGAGGGTCTCCTGAAAAAGTAGTTTTCGTTTTACTGATTCCGGGACAGGTGTTTCCTTAATCTCTTCGTTCAATTTTGTCAGTGGTGATGGTGAACACTGCGCTTTTACAACTTAGTTGGTATTTTTACTTTTTCTGAGCCTACTGACTTTTTTCTTGTATTTACTTATTTTTTTTATTAGCGCTGGAAAGTTCTTTTTCTAATTGTTTTATTCGACGATATGCAGCACTGCGGTCTCTTCGTACTTTCTTTCTGCCCCTAGATGTATTATGGTGTTGCGGAGTGCCTTCTCGAGGAGAGGAAGGGGGTGTGTCCCTCAATACATTTTCTAGCTGACGTTCCCGGGTTTTAGCATTCTGACGGCTTTTCTTTTTTCTTTCTCTACACTCCTTTCGCTGCTTTCTTTTTTCTCTATCTGATAACTCTGCAATAGGTTTATCAATTTTCATATATTTTCTTTGCTGTGCCCCCTCTTTCATTTTCTTTAAATATTCGGCTCTTCTAACTGGATCCGCGTTGATACGTTCTCTGTATCTCTTTTGTTTTTCAGCTGGTGTTAAACCCATATCGATTTCCTGAACAGAAGAATGACTGCTTTACACTAGTTTGCTGTGTCACATAAGTTACCATTAGTCACATAAGTTACCTCTAAGGCTGGGCGCAAAATGAGACACAGCTTGGTGAGGTGAGGTAGCGTGAGTTGCGGTGGGATTTTATGAACCTAAAAAAGGATAGTAGGTGCGCAGTTTGATTCGCAGCGTGACGCGACGCAGTACTAACCTAACGTGATTCTGCGAGACGCAGTGTCATTGCCGCAGTTTCGTTCCAAATTGACGTTACCACGGGCTGAGCCCGACTTAAAAAAATGGAAGAAAAATTAATAGAAGCCGTTAGACTTCGTGAACTTTTATATGATACTAGTCATGAGGACTATATGAGGACCAAATTAAAGACTGAAAAGTGGAGTGAAATCGCTAATGAAGTCGGTATGAAAACTGGTAAGTTTATTTATTCATATTACATATTTTATATTTCAATATTTCCCTGTAGCAACACTTTCTTTCTGCCAAGGTACCGCTCCGGGAGAGTTAAAATAATTTGTAAAATTCTGTCGAATCGTAAAAGCTTTCTGTGCACTTCGAACATTAGTTGGTTGTTATGGGTGCAGCTGATCTTGCGGCATATCTTATTTTTCATCATTTGCATTTTGAGGTACTCAATAAATCCTTAAATAATTGTGTAATACACAAGCTGCTTTAACAACAGTATTGACACTTTCTACTTTAATATCAAAAGGTGTTCGAAAAATTCGAAAATGCGAGGCCAATATGCCGAAAGCGCATTCAACAGTTTGACGCGCTCGCGATAATCTGTAATTAAACACTTTGTTTTCATAATTATCAGTAACGCTGCGTTTAGGATAAGGTCGCATTAAGTTCTCAGATAATGGGAAAGCTTCATCTCCTACAAACACATACGGCATTGGGCCAACAAGTGGGGGTGTAAGGTATGTTTCAGCATTTTCTTTGCCAAAACGCTTGTACTGAAAACGTTTCCATCACTAAATCTTCCTTGTGACTCTACATCAATAGTGATGAATTTATAATTTGAGTCGACGATAGCCATCAGCACAATGGAGAAAGTACGTTTGTAGTTGATATAAGACGATCCACTTTTTCCAGGTTTTTTAATTACAACGTGCTCCCCGTCAATCGCTCCAATGTAATGCGGGAATTGCCATTTTCTTTCAAAATCAAGAGCAACGGATTTCCAGTCTTCTTCTGAAGATTCTGGCAAATATGTCGGTTGCATCAGTTTCCAAATTGCTTACGATACTTCGCGCACAACATTAGAGACCGTTCGATAATCCATTCTGTAGCTGTATGCAATACTTTTGTAGCTGTTTCCTGTGGCTAAGTACCTGCAACAAAAAATGATTAAGGCTTTGTTTTTGGAAAGTCACATTTGTTTTGGAAGTCTTACAAAGGGATATGATAGAATGATTAATAAAATGTTTAACGTTATATTAATATTACTCTAAAACTAATGTAGGAACCGAAGCAAAGGCGTTATGGGAGAAATTAAGGCAATCCTTAAGAGACGCGATTAGGCGCCAACAAAAGAGTTACAAAAGTGGGGCACCAGCAAAATCCATCAAGGAATGGAGGTTCCACAAGCAGATGGGGTTCCTGCAGCCCTACATGGCTAACAAATCGAGGGAAGGAAACCTCCCTGAAGAAGATGATGTAATCATGACCCAAGATTCCACAGAGGTGGACAATGAAACTGTGAACATACAAGACGAAAGAGTAGGAGATGATGAAATACAAATTCTTCCAGATAACTCAGTTTCAGTGCCACCTTCATCAACCTCGACATTAAAGACGACTCCAAGATCAACTAAAAAAAAATAAAAAAGATGTCACTGCCTTATTTAGGCAAAGCATAGAAAAACGCGAAGAGAGGGCTAAGGCAAGGGCGAAAGAGAGAAAAACTATTAAAAGAATTACAACCCACACAAAACGATCCTCTATTTCACTTTTTTTATCTATGTATCACAACTAAAAAAATGCCCCCCTTGAATCAACATATGGTTAGAAATCGCGTATTCAACGCGGTTTCAGATGTAGAAGCCAGGATACTAAACATTCATCCTATGTATGATGTTCCTCAACAATCTACCCAGCAGCAACCCAGTCCTGCCCAACAGCAGCCGAGCTCTGTCCAGCAACAGCCCTACTACCATACGCTACAACCTGGTCCTTCAACCTCTCTGTCTTGTAGCAGCAGTTTAACCCGAGGTTCATCAACCCCAGCTTATGTATATTCAGAGAAATCGCTTTTAAGCCCCACTGATAATAACCTCGAAGAACAAGACAATTACTCTATGGCTTCAGTTACTCTTCAAAACATGTTAATACCTTCCAACCTAATAACTAATATTACATTTAACTACTGTAAGTTAATAAACTAACTTACCTTAAGAATACAGCTAGTTTCTCTTCAATTCCAATGGGCCTTGTTGCATTACATCCTTCTGCATCAATTTCTTCCCTAATGATCTCGTGCACTTCTTTAAATTGATCACGGTTTAGCCGAAAATAATTGTTGAATTGTTCGTCACTAAATTCTTTAGTTAATTTAAATTCTCCATGAGTTTTTCTTCTTTTCATATATGAGCTTCTCCTTGACTTTTTATCAGCCAGCTGGGAGATAAGCGCTATAGTGTCGGATTCGAATTCGTTTTCTGAATCAGATTCAGAACTAAATTGAAATTCAAGCGTAAGTTCAGTAGCAATTGTCACCATATTTCGTTGTACTAGTACCGTGTGACCTTACCCTACACTGAATGACATGAAGTGAAAAACTGCATTGTAATTTGCTCGGTTCGCGCTCTAGCAGTTTTCTCCCGTGATAAAAACTCACCGTGACTCACGCTGCCTCACCTCACCCTGCGTCTCATTTTGCGCCCAGCCTAATAGATAACATATGTGACGGTAACTTACATGACATTTTAAGTACATTTTTTAAAAATCCCGCCGTAAGAGGAAATTTGGCAAACTGGTCGAACGTATTCACAAAGAAGCACATGCTTTTAGGTTATTTAACGAATCATATTTATCAAAAAAAAAAATAATAATTTTGCGATTAACTCAGTAACTTACGTGACACGTAATAAACATACTCACCTGTTATACTGTATATTAGCCACGATAAACTTTTAAACAAAACTTTTATTTAAAAAAAACAATCGGAAGGAAGAGCACCAAAACAATTAAAACGATCTAGGAAACTGTTTTGATTCCACTATTGCCAGATTGTCGAATTATTTTTATGTACTTATTGGGTAACATATGTGACCCGAATCTCGGTGGCGTCGGTAAATAATGGCAAAATACCTTTAAAAAAAAATTACCGAAGACGCTATTTCTGGACAAATGTACACATATGTTTTTGTCTCCAATTAGATTTTTTGGTAATCATTGTCCGACTTTTAAAAAAATTGTAATAATATAAAGTCGGGTATCCATACTGGTGACTAGTAACTTATGTGACATTTGTCCTACAAAAAACCATTTTTAGTGTAAAATTTAATAAAAATATGTATTTGTTTAAATGGGAACTTCTTTAATAACATTGTTTATTCTTATTTCACCAGCAAAAAAACGTTTTTTGCTAAAGGTCATTTTGCAAATACTGGGTGACTGCATCGGCACAAGTTATATGAGAATTTACCATTCCTTTTCTTGCTGAACGAGTATTCACTGATACTCTCACTACTTCTTTCCATTTTATTCTTATTGTAACAGAAACAATAATAATTGTGACAGGCGGTTTCCTTTCAACCCTGACACTGGCATTTCTGGGGTAGACATAGTTGATTTCCCAATCAAAAAATGAGCAGGTGAGAGAGGGGTCAAATCATCAGGGTTTGAACTCAAGGGAGATAAAGAACGGGAATTAGTATCGCCTCGATGCGAATAAGAATAGTTTGAAAATCAAAGAAAAATAAAACTTGATTTCCCAAAACTCTTTTTAACTGATATTTAAGGCTTTTAACGCCTTCCTCCCAAATTCCTCCGAAATGAGGTGAATTTGTTGGGATGAAGTGCCATCTTATATTCAAATTAGATACGGAGTGACAAATCTGTGAATGATTGTTTTGGCGGAATTCAACTATTTTACGCATGTCCTTATTTGCCTTGACAAACGTAGTTCCATTGTCCGAAAATATTTCAAATGGCCGACCACGGCGACTTATGAAACGATTGAGAGCTTGAAGGAAGTCATCACAACTCAGAGACAATACAAGCTCTAAATGTATTGCACGGGTGCTAAAACACACGAATAAGGCTACCCAACATTCAATGGATTTACAACCTCTACCACGTTTGTCCTTTAATATGAAGGTACCAGCGTAATCAAGGCCGACCACGGTAAACGGCATTGTTGGTTGGTCCCGAGACTTTGGCAAATTACCCATGATGGATTAAAGCTTATGGACGTTATACCTTGCGCATTTAACACAATTATGAAATATTTTTCGCCACTAAATATCTTGAATGTACGGGCCAAGACCGTTAGTGTAAAGGCATTTTTAACAGAATTGATGCGGCGCGTGGAACTTCCACACAGTTAGAAAGTATTAGACTGTGGGCTTTGATCTGTTGCAACTAGTGATACCTATTTTAATAATTACAAATTATGGCTACGATAAAACAACGCAAAAAATGTCGAGCCATAGCTTGTGTTGCGGTATGTGTACATTTTAGTGTGTTAAAAAGGGCCAAACGCAAAATATGGGTCAAAAAATGGAGAGAAAATCGTAATATCCACGGTCATATACACCTCGTTCATGAATTGCGGTTGAACGACCCCTCTGATTTTCAAAAATATCTCAGAATGGACAGTGGAAAATTTGCAGATTTACTTGAAATGGTTAAACCACATATTACAAAAGCTGATACAGTCATGCGACAAAGTATTTCAGCGGAAGAACGATTAATAGCAACTCTTCGTTATTTAGCAACGGGTCGTTCCTATGAAGATTTGAAATTCACTACACGAATTTCAGCACCTTCGCTATCAGCCATTATACCAGAAACATGTAATGCTATTTATACTGTTCTAAGGAAAAATTTTCTTAAGGTAAGGCATTTATCATTTTATTCAAAATATAGTCCTAGTACAACTAAAACTAAATAAATATACATTCTTAATTGAAACTGAAAGTAAAATGAAAATATTAAAATTTTAAATAATATTGTGTATACATATTGATGGAAAAGAACCATTTGCAGCGTTAGATGTACCATGACCAACTTCAAATACACTACTAGAAGTACTTGGAGTTGCTGCTGGTGAAATACGAGATCTGGATGAAACGTAAGCAAAATTTTCTTGAACATCAGTATTAGAGGACAGCTGTTTTAATAATCCCTTGCTTAATATTTTGTTAATTAAAGTCTCAGCGTATATGGCTTGGGTGGGATGCATGCGTTGCAATTTTGTGCCGACACTTACGCCTACTGCCACATATTCAGTTATTTCTACGTTATTTTCTAATGCTCGTTGGCAAGCTTTCATGAATTCCATGTTGGAACCACCACCCTTTAATTTTCGTTTTACACCTTTTTGTGGTGCAAAATATGAACTGGAATTTGATGCATTGTTTTCCTAAAAATAATGTTATAATTAATTTTTCTTTTTCAGTTTCCGAGTAGTACAGAAGAATGGTTAAAAATTGCCGAAGGATTTGAAACAAAATGGCAATTTATAAATTGTGGAGGAGCTTTAGATGGAAAGCATATACGTATTGTTCAGCCGCAAAATACCGGAGCAAAATATTATAACTATAAGAACTTTTATAGTATTATTTTGATGGGTTTAGTGGATCCTAATTATGAATTTGTTTTCGTCGACGTTGGCAAAAATGGCAGAATTTCTGACGGTAGTGCCTTAGAATATACTGACTTTTATATAAAGATGAATTGTAGAAATTTAAAATTACCGGAAAACCATCAAACTGCCAAAAATTTAAATTTTGTTTTTATTGCAGATGATGCTTTTTCTCTACATAAACATTTGCTTAAACCTTTTTCACAAAGAGATTTAAATCATGAACAGAGAATTTTTAACTATAGGTTATCTAGGGCGAGAAATTTTTCTGAAAACGCTTTTGGGTTGATAGCTTCCAGATTTAGAATTTTACACACATCAATAAATTTAAATCCCACAAAAGCACTGTGGCGGCATGTTACAATTACATTTTTATATTTAATTAGCAATAAATTTGTTTTTGTAATTAATATCACATTAAGTATAAAATAATTAATATCACATTATATTAAGCTGTATTTAGAGATTAGGGATAATTACATCATTAATTAGCTTTAGGTACCTAATTTGTTTTACCTGGATTAGAAATAGGTACACGACGGAGAGGGCAAAAATTTATCTTAGAACAGGCAGAGAAGCGACACTATCAGTATGGGTTAAGTCTTGCTCCCGATCGGTCGTGCTGTCCTGTAAAGAAGAGGCCAATAAAAGTTATATTGTTACACGCTGCGTTTTCCTTTGGATGAACACGAAGCACCCCATAGCAGGTTACGTTATATTAGCCATTTGTGCACTGCATAATTATTTAAGGAGAAAAAGCAATTCTTATGTGACTACTACAACATTTGATGAAAAAAAATTGTAATAGAAATCAAAGGGAGGCAGGGGAATGGCGCAAAGAACAACTGAACTGACAAACTTGCAACAAGTCCGACCACGTAACATTGAAGCTCAAGCTACACAGAATAGAATTAATTATTTAAATTTTTTTAATGGCGAAGGAAGTGTGCCTTGGCAAACTGCATCAGTAGAAAAAGGTGCAGCCTAAAGTAATGAATATTGGTTTCTTTTTTTC